TTCCGCAGAAAAATGTTCATAATTCGCTTCCGGAGCAGCTTAAAGATGGGGAAAAAAGGGACTAAGGTTAGTAAGGAGTCGCCAGACTAACTGTGGCAGGTACACCCTAAATGGGCGGGGCGTACTCAAGGTGGGCGGTGCTTCTCGCAAAATTCAGTAACCCGGTTCGCGAGAGTGTTTGGAAGTCGCAAAAACTCAGTGTAGAATGTAAATATCTGGCGAATATAGGGCACGCTCAAAGTGTGTTGAGACCCGCCCACAGTGGGCGGAGAATCGCAGGGTATTCATTTTAAAAGTTTGTAGCTCGGTTCCAGAACACTCCAGACACCGGAAAAAAGTGGACTAAGGTCAGCAGAGGGTCGCCGGTGAGGATTGTGGGGCAAAAACATTGTGGGCGGAGCCTGCTCCGAGGTGGGCGGAGCCAGACAAAAAGGTCTGTAAAACGGTTCCAGAGCACTCCGAAGACCGGAAAAAGTGGATTAAGGTCAGCAGAGGGTCGCCGGTGAGGATTGTGGGGCACAAACATTGTGGGCGGGGTGCTCCGAGGTGGGCGGAGTCAGACGAAGAATCTGTAAAATAGCTCAAGAGTACTTCAGACACCGGAAAAAAGTGGAGTACAGAACAAAAGGCGGATATCAGTTGAGTCTAGAAATATGTGAAAGAAAATACGCGCGGCGAAGCCGCGCCGCCCGGCGCAGCCGGGCCGTATCAGAAGGAGGCGCGCCGGCGTTAGCCGGCGAGCCGACTGGTCAGTAATAAAACAGCTTCATTTTCGCGCTCTTTCAGCCCTCCAATTCGATTCTTCTGTTTTATTCCAGCTTTCATAAGAGCATATTGCATACATAGCCGGAGAACAGCAGAGATCCAAACCTTGCGAGCTCACCCATCATTTTCAAACTTCTGCGCGTATTTCTCTAAGGCCGCTATCGCGATGAATCTTGGATATCGTGGAGGTAGGGGCCTCCTCCGCTTACTTCGTTCTGTCCCATATCTTTGCATCCTCAAAGGCGTACTTCACCTACATTCAGCTTTTCTTACCTCCCATCATCCAGAACGAGCTTCTCATGAAGGGATATGTAGTACTCAGACACCGTAAACTCCATTCCATCTGTCTTTGGAAATGAGAGGGGGCATCTGTTGTATTTCTAACCTTTCGCTTATTTAGTCGATGTTTGGTCGGTGGGCTGCATAACGGCTGAGTTAATGCTAGGAAAACCGTTATTCCCCGGAGAAGATAGTGAGTCACCAACTTTCTCTCAAGTCGAGTGGGAGGTCTAACTAAGTGTCTATAGAAATTGTTGGTTTTAGCAAATGCACAATATGAAATGATAACTGAATTATGCGGCAGTCCAGATGAAGATCTCATGAAGAAGGTGAGTCATGTTTTTATTCTCAAGCCCATTGTTTGCTATGCCTTTCCCCCGTTTTGTTTGGGAGGTATCGATTGTGTACCTCAAACCTACTTACTAAATGGCATGCATTATGCAGAGCGTTCCGACTATAATGGGTTTTCTCCTATGAACAACTAACCTGACATTGTCGGCTTTATATATTACCTCCTTCCTCCAGATAGAGTCGAATAGCCCGGCTACACGACGTGTCGTCGAGTCGTATCGCCATCATGAGCGTCAAGATTTCGCTAAGCGATTTATTGGCTGCCCTCGTCTGTTCGTGGACTTCCTAGACAAAATTCTTGTGCTAGATCCTGAGAAGAGGTAAGCTCCTTCTTGCAGAGTTCTAAATTATAGAAGTGAACTGGACTAATCACTTCAGGCTCACCGTTGAACAAGCTTTGGCACATCCGTATTTTGCTGATTATGTGGATGCCACGGATGAACCCATCGCAACATCGTCATTCGATTTGAATGATAATCCAAGTAGAACGCGGGACGAGTGGAAGGGTAATTTGATTCGTAATTCATTTGAGCTTTTCCGCTGTCAGGCAGTGGGGGAGGAAGTTGAATTTTTCGAAGCTCCTTCCTATTCCAGGCAGTGGTGATCATGTGGTGAACTCGTCATTGAGTGCGGGATTGAGCTCTTAATTCCTTTTGATCAACTGAATAGGACAAGCTTTCAGTGGTAGGGCAACCAAGTTGCACGCATAGAGAAGGTTCAGATGTTGACTAAGCTTAATGGGACATGCACGATTGCTGTTGTTCGTAGAGCGAATGAGGCCCAGTTCTTATGCAGCTCTCGCAGGCCAGAACACCGACTCTATCTGCCTCCAATGGTGACGCAGCTCTTTATGAATCCAGCACTAATGTCAGTTCATAGACATCTTATGATGGTCAAAAGACGAAAGTAGTGTAACGACAAGCAGCGTTGCTTGCTCTGTCGTGTATCACATCTCGAGTGGGCTCCCGTTCCCAAGCCATTAACCCCTGTGAGGTCGACTAGATATAACTAGGTTCGCATAGAGACCATGAATCGTACATGGGATGGTCCCGCTAGGCTAAATTTTACTCGAGACCACAAGAAATGCCGCTATGATTTCGATTGGAACTGGAATGCATTCAAAGTAGGTAGAAACCGATTTCGGGTTTCTTCTGTGAGACTGATTCTTTTCTTATAGACCGTAATAGTGTTCCGTGGAGGTTTTGTTGGATTGGGAATGAACGAAATCCTGTTTCCGTTCCTTTCCCCAACCTCCATATGAATTGATTTGGAATCTGACATCTTGTCATAGCGTACGAAACTCCTCGAACAGTTCGAAACTGGGTCGGTGTTGTGGTTGGGTGTGATTCATGCGTGCCAATAGAATGTGTTGAACGCAGTAGGTTTTTTGACGATAGTGGAATTTATATACTGGGCCGGTAATAATCTGCGTTCCCATATGTGAGGCGCTGATGCAGCTGGAGGAAGGAGGGGGGAGGGGCAGGGTGCCAAATGAACATTCCCCTTTCACGTTCAGGTTTACAATAGCAGGCACGTCCAGAGCATGCGGTCCTTGTCGCTAAGTGCAGAAGAGCACGCTCTGTCGCGCTGCAGCTTGGCCCTTCCCGCCTTAGATTGCTTGTCAACCTATAGCCTTCCTTCCCCCACCCCCTTTTTTCCCTTCCTCCCTTCTATTTCTTACTTCCTTTTCTCTTCTTTTCCATTCTCCCTTCAACTGCTGGGTCAGTAGATGCAATGAGAATGTAGCTCCGTGCCCTCACATTGAGAATGTCCGGTTGACAGAAGTCCTCTAACTGGGCCCCTCCCTCCGCCGAAGACCTGCACTTGCGGGCGGAACCAGAAATCATAAGATTTCTTTTTCAGGCCTCATTTGGCAGGAAATTCAAAACTTCGTTGGCGACGAGTGTTCTCCAGAACTTCCTTCTTATACAGAGTATTAATTTGGATCTGGTCTGTTTACCCATTCACTGTCATTCAGTTTCACTTTTGAATCACGCTTTATTGATAAGTGAGAAAAGTACCTTCACTACGTCCATATGATGTGTTTGTCTTTACATAGGAATTCTGGCATTAGTACGGTGTTCATATGTTCTATTTGAAATGTTGTTATCAATTTTCCCTATACATTAGGAAATATTTGGTGATATGTATTTGTTGATATGTGAATTGAATTCACGTTGTGCGTGTGAAATACTTACGGTATGTTTTTTTTCCCGAATGGTGATACGATTCAATGGACATTTAGTCATTTACGATCAATT